TATTTTAAAAAAAATCAATAAAATATTATAAAATGGGGGGGCAATAGTGGAAAAATACTATGTAAGGAAAAATATCCTGTAACCAATTTACGTCTAGAAAAAATTTTTCATTTGCAATTCTAACAGCACGACACCCATGAAAAATATACGTGGTGTCAAAATAAGCCAAAGGAAATTCATTTGAGCAAAAATAAATAGAACCCCAAGTAAAGTTTCCTTTGTTAACCTTTTGTCGAGAATATGTTTGTATATTTTCAGAAAGCAACTCCAAAACCATGTGGATTCCTGCAACAGTGAGGAATTATCAGGAATGTCCAGCCATGAAGACAGGAGGAAAAACAATTCAGAGATGGAGGACACTGATGACGCTTTATCATGTTAGCAGGTTGCCCAGGACCAAACCAGAGAGGGTCAGACCTGCATAGCCACCATTTGTCCACCATCCAGAACTGAACTATCACTGCTGACATGTACACTTAAGGAAATGTCGGACACTGAAACATGGACTTCGCCTAAAAAACAAAGAAGGGGAATCTGTTGGGGACCATGTGTAAGCTGACATAGTCCTTGCACCTGAAGGGGCTAGCAAGGCTGGGACCCTTACCCACAAAGTTTTCCCAGACTTGTTTGGATGTCGATTATCAGTAGAATGAGAGCAACCTTTGTAGAATGAGAACAGCCTTTCATGGCTTACCAAGAAGTCTGTAACTATTTACTGAGATTTGCTGTACCGAGAAATTGTCCTTCTGTTCTGTCCTCCCTTAGAGATTAAGAGGAACAAAGAATACATTCCTCTTGACAGACCTCCTATTCAGTGTCTTGTGTATAAATAGCATTGTGTAGTTAATAGACTTGCTGCAGTTCCTCTAGAGCTGCAGTCCTTCCAATCCCGCTTTCCTGTCTTTCTTTTCTCAATTCCCACCTCCCTACCTCAGCCCGGCTCAACCTGTCAAGCTGGCCTTGACACCACACAAATGAAAGAGACTACACAAGAGTTAATTGGAAATTGGGGTCCAGGCGAGAGCCCATCCCAAGAGGATAGACTCCTCTTTTTTGGGAGCGAGGGGACAGTTCCTAGCCATTTGTTCACATTTTCAAAGTGTAAGATGTGCTGATTGACAAAGTATAATAGAACCGCTCCTTCTCCAAGGACCACTCCTCTCACCATTCAGGCTCTTTATCCCAAGGCTCTATCCCGGTCCCCTCTCCTCTTCCTCACTTCACATATTATTACTACCATAGTTAAATTCTTCATTAGCTTCTAACTGAGCTGCTGCTATAAGAATCTTCTAATTGCCGAAACCGGA